TAACATGAATGACACAGCTAATGAAGGTAGAGCCCTGGGTTAAGCAGGTTTTGGAGATTTGGGGTGGGTGTGGCTAATTTCGGTGTGACCAGCTTCACTTATTAGCTGAGGACAGCCTTGTCCCCCTAGTCAATACCTGCTGCTTGTGCGTCCTTCCATGAGGCATAACCCAGGCTTGAGCACACAGCCCTTTGGAGAAAGTCACTGATCTCTGGGTTTACACACTGATCACTCTTCCTTCTCCCAAGTTAATCAAAACCCCTGGAAGTCCTTCGCTGAGTGGGAGCTACAGTTCACCCGGGGTCTTGGAGAAGGCAGCAGCCAACATCAGCAATACACTTCTGCTAACTTACTTCTCTTTCACGATGCCCTTAGGAGGCGGTGACAGTGTGCCAGCTAACAAACCAAACACAGACACCCAGAGAGCTAATGTGCAGACCTCACAGAGCAGGTAATAACAGTCACCACAGCTAACACTTGACTTTGCTACGTGCCTGCGTGTTTTAGCTATTTTTCAGAGACTTTACATCAATAAGCTGGTTTAATTTTCACATAGGTTATAGAACCTTGGGGACCATCATGATCCCCACTTTATAGAGGAGGAAATGGGGGAAGTAGATTTCTCAAGGACCTACAGCGAATAACAAGAAGGTCCATGTTTGGAAGCCAGGTTATCTGCTCTGCTAGAGGTGAGACTTGAACTTCCGACACCAGCGCACATTCTTACTGGTCTGACGTTGGCTCTGTGTGGCTTCCCCCACCCCTAGAAACTTACCTGACGGCTGTGTCCTGGGCTGGATAGGCTTGAAGGGCTGGATTGGGACAAAGCTAGGCTGCTATTTTTTCCAACCTGAAAGACACCGTGAACTCCCATTGAGACACCGAGGCAACTCAAGAAGACCCTCTGACGCCGTGTGTTGTCAGGGCAGGGGAGGAGGGCGGTACCACATGTCTTACTCCTTCGATTACTCAGAGTGGATGCTTCCAACTTAAATGGCAGAAAAAGGGACAGCAGTTTATGGGTACTTTAAAGAGGTCCTTTTCTCAAGGTTCTTGATTTCACCTCTTAGATGTACACACTACAGGAGGCAGGGCTTGTCCCTCTGTAGCTCAAGAGCCCACAGGCTCATGCCTCTCTGACCATGGTGCAGAACCACTGTGTTTCTAGCCCTGGCTCCTCAGGTCTGTCTGGCTAGGAGATCCAGGATTCGGCCTCTGGTTCTTCAGAAAACCAGTTATGTTGGGCTGCTCTTGCATGTACAGGGAAAGAGGGGACAGGGTGTTTTGTCCTGCCTGGCAGGGTACCTGGCATGGCAGGCCTGGAAACATAGATGACCTCTCTTTGGGTCTGTCCTTGGCCCCTGGTGGGGTGGGCTCTGAGAAGAGCTGGTGCCAGGGTCCAGTCCCATGGTTCAGCTCATTTGCAAAAGGGGCTCTTGCCCCCAGCCTCCAAACAGCCCTTCCGCTATCTTTGCTCCCCCTTTGCACACAGGTACCTGCCTTTCGCTCCCAGTACTGCTCTGTGTCCCGTTTAATACCTTGGTGGAAGTTTGGGGCCTTTTCCTTCCCAGACACAGTTAGAACCTAAGAGTTCTCTGCAAGGCACAGAGTCTCATTTTGGATTTCTTTTTGAGACAGGATCTCAGGTAGCCCTGGCTGGCCTGGAATTCACTATGTAGCTGAGGATGACCTTGAACTCCTGATCCTCCACCTTCCCATTGCTGGGCTGCCATACCTGGCTCTCAACTTAGGTTTCTTGAGCTTTCCTCTCTGCCTCCTAACAGAACCAGCACAGCAGCCAGAGGCCTTTTCCTTTTCCTAAGACACGGAAATGCCCAGGGGTGACTCCAGTCAAAGCCTTCTCTCAGTTGCCTGGTGACAAGCATTGCGCTATCACCGTGTTGAGGGTTGGGTGCAGCCTGGTTCCTGGTGCACATTCTCAGTGAGGCTTCTGGGCTCTTCTGCTGCTAGTGTGGCTGACTCACTGTGCGACTAAGCATTTCAGACAGTCTGGGAGCCAAGCGGCCAGCACTCAATACCCAGGCACTTCAGGCTTGACAGGAAGGCCCAAGAGCCCAGAGTCAACTCCCCGGTTTTAAGTCTCTGCTCCACTGTTCGCTCGCTGTGTGACTCTGGGAAGCCTGTGTAAGCTCTCTCTATGCCTTGCTTGGCTCATGTATATAAAAACGGGTTAATAACAGGTTAGGTACTGAGTTCCTGGACCTCAAGTATTTGGGGACAGGGATCATTAGTGACATGTAGTCAGCCAGTAGAACTTTATCTAAAACGAGGAAAGCAAGGCAGCTTTGCTGCAGCAGGCAAGATCCACAGACCGAGGGAGGGGCTCCCCCGTTGGCTCCCCGGGGGACTCTGCTCTTACTCCCAGCCTGTTCACCCTCACCTGCCTTTTCACAAGACCCCCAGTGCATCTGTGTGCATGCATTCCAGTATAAGAAGCCGTGTGAGCCTCCCTCTGAGTCTACAGAAGACCCCAGCTAGCAATCCAGTCTCCAGGTAGGATCTAGAGGGTGCCAGCTAGACGTGGCCTCACCGTGGCCAAGGCTGCAGCTGTCTGGCCCTTGCTCGTGTGTGTGCGCCTGTGAATCCCTCCCAGAAGGTGCTCTCCTTGGGGTTTTGTTGAATGTCTTACGTGGTGACACAAAACATTAGAGCAGTGGTTCTCAACCTGTGGGTCGAGGCCCCTTGAGGGGCGGGCGGACAATCTTGTCATGGGGTCGCAGATCAGACGCCATGCACAACAGAGCTTCACATTCTGATTCATAAAAGTAGCAAAATTACAGTTACGAAGTAGCAAGAAAAATAATTTTATGGTTGGGGGACACCACAACATGAGGAACTGTATTAAAGGGTCGTGGCATTAGGAGGGTGGTGACCCAGTACATTAATGCATCTCCTCTCTCTCTCTCTCTCTCTCTCTCTCTCTCTCTCTCTCTCTCTCTC